ACACTTCTCCAAGTTTTGGGACTCTGCGTTTTCTCAAACTTGAGATATTCGTCGTAATGTTTTGGGCAAATTTACAGAGCCCGGTATGGAGACGCCATGTTGGTGGAGCTCTGTACTCAACCAACTTGGCGGCCGGAAAATAGTGCAACCATCTGGAACTTACTTTGACTATCTAGGCGACTGATTATCTAAGCTGAACCAACAAACATTTACAAAAGCACTGTTCCTAACACTTCAACCCTTAAAAAGGCTAAAAATCACTAGACAAGTGTATATTTTTCCACAAACGCGATCGGAGCGGTATGTCACGCACCGCCTTAACTCTGAACTTCAAACGGCGCTGGTTCCAAACAAAGCACGCTATTGAGCTGAAATGTTGTAAATAGATATATGTTTAGATCCCCTTACGCCTTCACGTCACGTGAAAACGATCCTATAAAAGGGAATGTATTTCCCTGATTGGCAGAATTTTTCTTGACAGTAATCAATATTCATATTATATTGTTTTGAGTGAAAGTTGCATGTAACCTTACCTGCGAAACGATACAATTTCTTAAAGGAATCTGCTTTCGTGAGGTGCTTAGCGCTCTGCTATTCAAAAACACACCCCAGTTCACTATTATTTACATTTTGACTTAGCTAGTTAAAGAAAGACGTCACAATACATTTATTATTCTACAGCTGAAGTGGTCTTTTTCTAAAAGACAATTGCAGAGTATAACAAGTATTGTTAAATAGCTGGCGTTTCTCCAGCTACAGAGCACCCATTCATTGGCTAGTTTACGGTCACATAACATCTAACAATGAAAACTGTTTACCGCCATGGCCAAATGCCATGAGCGGGCAACATTGCGAAAACTATGACGTCAAACGGGAAACAGTTCACTGTTACCCACGAAATGTTGACCGCTGCTGCATGTGATCAGAGCGTGCAGTTGAAGATGTTGTCGCTGGAAACTCAGCGCGTTTTTGCTTTTGTTTTGTTTTGCTATATAACAAGTCACTTAATGACTGGTCGCTTGGGGAACAGTGAATTTTGTTTCCCTCGAATCTCGATTCTCGGGAAACAAAATTCACTGCTCCCCTCGGGACCAGTCTTTCAGTGTTAATTGTTTCTTTAATAGATTTTTTTGTAATTTTGATTTTTTTATATAATTTTGCAAGTTCTTATAATTACCTTGTACTCGAATAAAAATTGTGACTTTCTAGTTGATATGAATGTTTAAAACGAAGACTGTTGAAACTTTGAGAACAAGGTACTGTTTAGCCTCGTTGTTTTGTTTCATTCCAAACGCGTGACCGTCCCTTTAAAGAAAGGCGGCGATGCGTTAATTTTAAGGTCATTCCTTACATTTGTATCGCGCATCCTTACTGCGCGTAATTTATGGCGTCATTAGCGCGCGCTCGTGCACGCGCATATGGAAAACATGACGGATTTGCCTTGATATTGAGCGCTGTCAGTTGAAAAATGGCTCTAGCTCACCAACTAGCACGGGTATCCCAATTTTTTTCCAGTCATTGTAATCAACTGATCGTAAGCTTTGCGTGAGAAAAGACTGATCTAATTTCTATTGCTGAAAATTGAGTAAATAAGAAAAATAGCAGATACACTGTGGTCTTTTCTATTTCGCAGTTTGGTGACCACGTCAAGAAATTTGGTTCAAATTTTTAATCAAGGAGTTAGCTTTCTGTCATAATCAAACTTTAGATGTTTATTTGTGTCCGACAGAATGTATTGACTGTAGTTTAATGCGTGTTCTGATGGGTCTGGGCTCACAAAGATTTTACAATTACTCGGAACGCATTCTTATAATAAGCATTAAATAATGCCAAAATGGGGCATTTTCAATGCTTCACTGCTCCTTAATGAGCATGGGCACCCCTCTTTTTTGTTTCAAAATTGAAGTTATCATATGACAAATATTCAGTGGACAAAGTTTGAACAAAATCTATTGCCACTTTTATTTCAGAGGAATTACCTTAAGTGAACTCCGAAGTGCCACCGTCAAGTGATTTAAACAGCTGTTTATTCATTCAGCATAACTTTCTCTTCGTTGGTTTAATTGTATTTAGCCTTGGCAGACTATGTTTATGTTGCTTTTGAAATTATTTTACTCTACGGCGTCGCCATCAAATTGTTTTTAAATTGCAAATGAATAGCCAAGAAAATACAGGATTCACTGACGTTTTCAGCGTCCGTACGGGTCGTGTTTACAGGAACAGAAAAATCGGGAATAGCAACCTTAAATGACCAAGGTGTTACCTTGAAATAAAATAGTTTAAATTTCATGTAAATTTATTTATCGTAAATTTATCTCCTTTTGGTGTTTAATCATTTTACTGTTCCGCGTTTTATCTAAATAAACAGTAGTCAGCAAATGCAGGACTTGCACTTATATCCGCACGGTCGTGCACACAGTGAGTAGCAGAAAAGATCAGTAAAAAATATGGTAGCTATCATAGAAAATGCACATCTAATAAGAAAAAAACAAAAACAAAATAAAGAGAAGCAAAAAAAGAGCTGCATGGGAAAGATTTGCAGTTTATGACCATTTGACATAGCCCATATAGGTCTGATTTAGTTTAAACCATTGTAAACCCATGTTATTTTTGTTAACACTAGTTATGTATACTCTATGCGGAAGATAAAAAAAAAAAAAAAGCCGAGTCACCCTATTATCTAAAGTAGTGCATACAGCCACTTCAAGAGTATAACTTACTTCATTAACTGAAATGCAAATGATGATTTTAAAACAACACATTAAGCAAACAAGAGCCTAAATATCTTCAAGACCCCTTGATTCAAAACATGATCCCCATCATTTTTCACTAGTGATACGATGCTTATTTATGTGGTATTCACGGAGATCTTTGCCTAGTCAGTTTGGTTCTAGCTGGATTTTTATTTTCTGAAATGAACAAGAAACGATGTATTTCTCTGATTCGTAGTATTTTTCTCGACAATAATCAGTACATGTATGATCCTGCTATGAGTCAAACTTACGTTCTGGACGATACTATTTCTCAAAGGAATTTGCTTTCGTGAGGTCCTTTCTTTGCTAAGAGCTCTGCTCTTCTAAACAACACTCCAGTCTTCTAAATCCCATTTATATGTTGACTTACACATGTCATACATAAATTATTTCATAGCTAAGCGGTTTTTCTAAAAGATGATCAAAGCTGCATGAAAATACATTGTCATTATAATAGGTTATTTCGTGTTTGTTTTGTTTTTTGTTTGACTTTTTTAAAATTATTTTTGGCAGGCTCTTAAAATACTAATTACCTTAACTTATTGCAACTTTCAAGTTATTGCGAGTTTTAAAACGAAGACTGTTGAAACTTTTGAGAACAAGGTACTATTTAGTTTCATTGTTCTGCATTCATTCCAAACGCGTGGCTTTCCCTTTAAAGAAAGGCGGAGATGCGTCGATTTAAAGTGAACGTCGAGGTGCCGTCGTCAAGTGACTTAAACAGTACATGTTTATTCATCCGGCAAAAGTTTTTCTTCGTTTGTTTAATTTTACTTAGCCTTGGCAGAACATGGCTATGTCTACAGCGTCGGCTTGGCTATCAAATCGTTTTAAATACAAAATAAAGCGAATCAGGAAAATACAGAATTAACTTTCTAACACTCTAAGGGTCCGAACGGGTCGTATTCACCAGGAACGTAAGGAATATAGGGGACGTCATCTTGAATAGAAAAGTTAAATTCAGTGAGCTTAAATTTATCTCCTTTTGTCTGATTCTACTTAGTCTTAGGCAGACTATCTTGTGTTTAATCATTGTACTATTCCGCGTTATATAAAAATTATAAAAGAAATGAATACGCAGAACTTGCAATTTTATCCGTACGGTCATGTACGCGAAGAATATGGTAACTATCATCTTAAATGAAGATCTCAGAAATGAAAGAAGGTGAAGAGAAAAAGGGTAATCTGAAAACAAATTATCTAGGAGAGAATAGCTTAAATTGTTGTAGGACCAATTGATTGTACCATAATTTCCATTCTTTATGCTTGTATATGTGGTATTTACGGAGATTTTGGCCTAGTTTAGGTTCTAAAATAAGATTCTTATTTTCCGAAGTCGAAAAGGTACTAGTTGCGGGTCCAAACGGGTGCGACCCTGCCTTATGCATTAAAGAATTGTCCACCTAAGAGTAGTGAGACAGATTTTAAGTAAACACAGTATGCAACGTCCTCGCATTTATTTTATTTGAAGTTCTCTTGCTAAAAACAGTGTGAATAAGTAAGAACCTGTTTCAGTTTTAGGCCCATAAGTCAGTTGATGCTATTTCTAAATTCAAAAGGTGGTTGAAATGCCAAAATGTTAGCCTGCATGTTAATTATTAGCCTCTGACAGGGGGTGCTTACTGCGTTGTTTTCAGTGTATCATTGAAAAGTTCCATTATCGCTCCGAAGGGGTGAATTGTATTGTTTTTTTTTTTTTTCTTTCTGGGGTTATCCGTGTCGGCTTCAATTCTGTGTTATCATCCAGTGTTGAATTGCTACTAAACCTCTGTGGTGTTTTCTATCCCGCAGCAATCTAATTCCTAAACAAATGATTTCACAGAGAAAAAATATATCCAGGTGGGAATCCGTGAGAGGTCTTCGCTGTTATATGCATAAGTCCAAAACCTGGCTCATTAGCTGTTTACCTTGCCAAACCCTGCCGAACATTTCCCTTTCAAATTCTTAGGCCTATAAAACTAGAGTTGTGTAGTAATCACTGTTTCCAACCCGCTATTTTTTATAAACGAAATTTACGACAACTGACTTAAGAAAAATACTGATCTTTCCTGCCATTTGCTTCTTGAATTATTATAAATGTCATTTGTTTGCAAGTAAGCGTTTCGTGTTTGTATATATGTGGAGCGAGAGGTTTAACGCACAAACAATGTTCAGTATATCACAGATACGTAATATTAGCTAATACTTTTTGGCATTAAACAATATTTATATGATTCAGTTCTTAGTGAGTGTTGTACATAACCATACCTGCGAAACGTTGCGATTTCTCAAACGTGTCTCCTTTCGTGAGATCGTTCAGTTTTCTGCTCTGCTCTTCAAAACCACCCCCACTTTATTAAATACCAACCACTGTGTTGATTTAGCTAAAGAAACACGTCACATACATTTATTATTGTTAATGGAATAGCTTAAATTGGTTTTTCTAAAGGACATTTTGCAGAGCAAAAAAGTCATTTTTTTAATGTTGCCTTGTTAATTATTTTCTCTAAACTTCGGCTTAGCCGCCATCAAAGTGTTTAAAGTAAAAATAAATAACAAGAAAATACAGGATGTACCGCCACTTTCAGTGTCCGAAAGGCCGTACACACGGGAACTTCAGGAATGTAGAAAATAGCACTCTTAAGGCGGGACGTAAGCTAAAATTCTGAAAGAAATTCGAAGTTTTGTTTTCTACGTACGGAACTCGAATCTTGAGGTATTGAAGTTTTATTTTGACAAGTACTGTTACCGTAAGTTTAAAGCTCGTTTTCTCAAACGAGTTATTTTCGCCTTCTAGAAAAGATATCTTGAGGAGGATTCATTCAATTGAGCTAAAATTTTCAGGATTTGTTGTTCTGAGTACGTTCTGTGAGATAAGCATAGAACTTTTCCATCCAGTGCATTCTGTCAAAGTTATGCCTGTATTGAAACGTATGCTAGATTTTCTGAATCAGATTTAGCTGGTCATCGTTTCACGTGTTTTTAGCTTTCCAAAAATCTCTATGCTTATCCCAGCAAGCTGTTTGTCTTCTTTTGTAAAATGTAAAAGTTATTCCTTTTGATCAGTTCTTGTAGGAGTTATCTTTTCTCAAGTAAGCCCTGGCATTTCCCAGAAGGTGGCAGATTTAATCAGCTGGTGTCAGGTTATAATACGGATATAGGATGCACAAATACTATTTTAATAATCTTTGCTCTTTGAGCTTTTTAAAAGTGTATACTTTGCCATGGTTTGGAGTTACCTTTTAGCCACGAGAAAATTTTTGAAACATGGTGTCCCACCTTAATGGCCAAGGTAAAATCGTAAAATGATTTAAAGCGTGGTCATTTTAATAGGTTATTTGTCTTTTTATTAGTGTTATTTCAAATATTTTTGCAAGTTCAGATAATTACCCTGTGCTCAAATAAAAATTGCGACTTTCAAGTTGATATGAATGTTAAAAACGAAGACTGTTGAAAAATTTTTGAGAACAAGGCACTATTTTAGTTTCGTTGTTCTGCATTCATTCCAAATGCGTGACTGTCCCTTTGAAGAAAGGCGGAGATGCCTTAATTTTAAGTGAACTCCGAAGTGCCATCGTCAAGTAATTTAAACAGCTGTTTATTCCTTCAGCATAACTTTCTCTTCGTTTGTTTAATTGTACTTAGCCTTGGCGGACTATGTTTATGCTACTTTTGTAATTATTTTACTCTACGGCTTAGCCATGAAATTGTTTTTAAATTGCAAATGAATGAAAATAGAGCTGTAACCAGGATAAGACATATTAAAGTGAAAAAGCCTTCTCTGGTTAAAAAAGATTAAAAACATATGCTTTCGGCTTTCAGTGTATGAAAAAATGCGCGCGAACGGAATATATACGAAACGGGTTGTATATTCCGTATATTCCGTTTATATTCCGTTCGCGGAATTAGGGGTGTTTAAAAATTTCTCACACCCCTTTTCGCATATATTCCGTTCGCGCGCCTACATTTTTTCACACGTTAAAGGCTATAGACTGATAGCCGAAAGTTTATGTTTTTAATCTTTTTTAACCAGAAAACGTTTTTTCCCTTTAATATGCAAATGAATAGTCAAGAAAATACAGGATTCACTGACACTCAGTCAGGAACAGGAAAATCGGGGATATCAACCTTAAATGACCAAGGTGTAATCGTGAAATGAAATTTAAATTGCATGTAAATTAATTACATTTATCGTGTATTTATCTCCTTGTGTTTAATTCTACTTAGCCTTGGACTGTTTATGTTGTGTTTAATCATTCTACTCTTCCACGTACGTTATATATTACAATTAGAAATAAACCGATAGTTAGGACTTGCACTTTTATCAGCGCGGTCGTGCACACAGTGAGTAGCGGTAAAGAATATGGTAACTATCATAGTAAATGCAGATCTAAGAAAAGAAACAAAATAAAGAGAAAAGGAGTAAAAGAGAGAGTTGGGAAAGATAGCCCATATGGGGTTAATTTAGTTAACACCATTGTAAACACATGTTACGTTTAGTACTAGTTATGTACACTCTATACGGAAGATAAAAACAATGGCCGATTCGCCCTATTATCTAAAGCAGTGCATACGGCCAAATGATAATTTTAAAACAACATATTTAGGAGAGAAGAGCCTAAATAGTTGCAAGACCCCTCAATTCTCGATTCATCCCCTCGATTCATTTTTCACTCGTCGTGCTTATTTAACATGTGGTATTCACGTAGAACTTTACCTATTTTAGGTTCTAACTGGATTTTTATTTTCTGAAATGGACAATGAACAATGTATCTCACAGATTCGTAGTACTCTTGTTGACTGCAGTGGTCAATATAAGAATGATTCTACTTTAAGCGAAAGTTGCACATAACCTGGCTTCTATGATTTCTCAAAGGAATTTGCTTTGGTGAGGTCCTTACTCTAGATCTGCTTAAAGCGCTCTGCTCCTCAAAACACACCCCAGTTTATTAAATCCCATTTATATGTTGAATTACACAAGTCATACGTGTATTATTTCATAGCTAAAGTGGTTTTTCTAAAAAGGCGATCGCAGCTGCATGAAAATACATTGTCATTATAATAAGTTATTTCGGTTTTTTTTTTTTTTTGTTTTGCTTTTTTTAAAATCCTTTGGCAATACTAATTACCTTGTATTTAAATGAAAATTGCAACTTTCAAGTTATTGTGAATGTCAAAATGAAGATTGTTGAATCTTTTTGAGAACAAGGTACTATTTAGTTCGTTGTTCTGCATTCATTCCAAACGCGTGACTGTCCCTTTAAAGAAAGGCGGAGATGCGTTAACTTGTGAACGCCCAGCTGATATCGTCAAGTGATTTAAACAGTACATGTTTATTCATCTGGCAAAACTTTCTCTTCGTTTGTTTAATTTTACTTAGCCTTGGCAGATCATGGTTTTGTCTACGGCGTCGGCTTGGCTATCAAATTGTTTTAAATAGAAAATAAAGCGAGTCAGGAAAATAAAGAATTAACTAACACTCTAAGGGTCCGAACGGGTCGTATTCACAAGGAACGTGAGGAATATAGGGGATAGCACCTTTAATAGAAATATTAAATTCATTTAGCCTAATTTTATCTCCTTTTGTTTGATTCTACTTAGCCTTAGGTATACTATCTTGTGTTTAATCATTGTACTATTCCGCGTTATATAAAAAAGGAAAAAAAAAGAAAAGAAAACGCGGAACTTGCACTTTTATTCAACGTTCGTGTACGCAGTGGGTCAGCGGAAAAGAATATGGTAACTATCGTCTTAAATGGAGATCTAAGAAATGAAAGAAGGTGAAGAGAAAACGAGTAATCTGAGAACAAATTATCAAGGAGAGAAGAGCTTAAGTTGTTGTAAGACCATTTGATTATAATTTCCATTCGTTATGCTTGTATATGTGGTATTTACACTTGGCTCTTATGCAGACTTTACCTTTACCCAGTGTAAACGTATGATTCAACGATCTCAATTAATAAAACTTAAAACAAAGCTGATTTGCGCTACATGTATTATTTAAAAGTAGGGCGTACAACAGCCTTCAAGAGTAACAATTGCTGGTGAAATGCAAATGGCAATTTTAAATCAACATATTTTGGAGAGGATTTCGATACCACTTGATTGTAATCTGACCCTCATCATTAGACATTCTTAACGATTTCAAATTTTTCCTACCTTCTGTTTATTTTGTGGTAAAATATTTGTTTCAACGTACATTGTTTTTATTAGCGAGTCCTTTGAAAGGCTTGCAAAGTGCATTAAATTGCACTTTAAAAAAGAAATGAACACATATCATCAACCTAATTCCAGGGCTTCTCCTTTGAAATTCCAAACCCTTCTAAATTTCAAGGGGAAGCTATGGGCGCAAGGTTGAAGACATACCCGACTACATATCCCGCTCCCACCCATGAGATCTACACTAAGAAATAATAAAACTACTTTGAAAGCCGTGTGAAGATCGTAAGAACACTAAAAAAAAAACACGCGACAGTGATTTTAATCACTGCGACTGCAAGGATATCATTCCTGTTAGTTTAATTAGGCTAGGCTGGGCATTCCTCATCTGCGTGTTGTGTAGTTTTTACATACATTGGGCAAACTGAAAATACTTGCAATTGTCAGGCATCAGCCATCCTTGAAAGATATACACTAAGAGACGAGACAGATCGACACTCGAAAGCTCGTGAAGATAAGTAAAGGATATAAAACTGTTGCGGGGTTTATGCTCATACAGTGATTATTGCAGAACATAAACTATGAAAAGTGTAACGGGTCACTTTTTGATATATATTTCCATGGCGAGTCTGACACGAATGTTTTGTTTCTACAGCTTAGGCCATAGTTAATAGAAGGGAATGGATATTATTGTGGCTTAGCTAACTAATTCTGAGTCTGTCTCCATATGCCATTTGGATTTCCAATTTAAATTAAACAAAACTTTGGTTCGAGTTGGTTCACTGTAGCATTTTGCAATTAGATCAACTACAAAGTGGCTTCGACGTTATTTAACAAGCAAAACACAAAAAGAACATCACGACACCCTGAACAGAATGAAACGCTTCCATGATTGGTTGATTTTAAAATCATATAGCTCTTATTAAAAACCTTCTTTCTATCAAGATAAATATTGAAAAATCGGCTGGTTTTGAAACGCCGTGCCTGTGATCGGCTTGTTACCTCAAGATGGTCTTGCTTTTTCGTAGGTAAAGTCTTTGTTCGAGTCTAGTGGTGCACTAGGCTGCGCTTACAAGTCTCAGGTTTCTACAATTTCACGCTCATCAGAAGTATTTCTACTCCCCTCGGATGGGATGCTAGTCCATTCTCTACCGTTTAATTTGCTGGTACTCATATATGCGCTTGGTGGGGACAGGTACTGTGAGAGTT